CAGATTCGTTATAAAATTTGAAAGAGCCCAAGTCCATTCAACATAATTTAAAATGCTTCAAATTGAAAGAAACAATAATATTTTGCAATTAATTATTTATTCGTTTTCTCATCTAAATATTATAAATTCTATTTTACTGGATATTTTGTAGTTATATAAATATTACTGCAGTCTATATCTCTTCAAATTATTAAAAATTCTTATAAACGTTCGCAGTCTAGTAATGACCCATAGAATAAATTGTAGATGTCGTTGTATGTCTGTAGCACATAGATATTGAACTGTAGTAAATTAAATGAATGATATTTAAAATTGCTCAAAAGTTTATAAACACTTTAGATTTATGATACTTCAGTCTCAAATAATGTTTACACTGTCTTAAAGACGAAAAACTAAATATTTCACATTTCCTATATTATAAATCAAGTAATGTTAGTAAAAATATCATTCATTATGTGCTCCGAATTATTTTCTAAATATGATTAAAAAAAATAAGTCTTCCTATCTGTAAAACTCAAGTTGATCTCGATTTTTTCATGGAAACATTATTTTCAAAATTTTGTTTACTCATACCTATTGTACAATATTGTACATTCCATTCTACAACTCTTATCATGAACTTTTTTTGTCAGATATATGCAAATGGATGAAAAATCGTGCGTCGCGTTGAAAGCAACACCCTGTATATTGAATTTTCTCATAAATTCTTAAAATCAAGTAAGTGGATAGACGATTGTACGATCGTGTCATTTTATTTCAGTGCATAATGTTGGGAGTGAGAACGATGCACGTGATGGTCCGGTACATAATTCATTTATATGACACCCGAGGAGCTGGAACCGCCGCTCAAACGACCTGGGACAAGAGAGGTCCGTTGACCTATTACACAGACTTAGTAGCGGAATTGATAGTATTGACTGTTGAGTTCTGCCACAACATTCACATGCTGCTCTGGAGTAACATTTTCCTGAGCATGGCCTCCCTGGTGATCTGTATGCAGCTTAGATACCTCTTCTACGAAATTCAACGGAAGATCACCAAACACAGGAACTACCTCGCCGTTTTAAATCACATGGAGCAAAAGTGAGTATTTCTGCTTTGTACTTCAATGAGAAATAACACGATTAAATAAATAAATGCTAATTTAATAATACATAACGTACATTATACAACATAGACATAACATAATAATACGCGATGCGCATTATGCAATGCAGTCTCTTCTGTAAATAGTAATTAAGAGGCTAGGTCTCCGTACGTACACGATAAGGTAGAGAAGACATGGACAACCTTTCATACAAAAATCCTCGGAAAATCCAACCGAGTTTTAGGAAATTATACAAACTTCACGATACTACCTTAATTCCTTAAACAATATTCATTCACATAGTAGAATGTTTAATAATATATACTTCATATTGAACAATAAATTTGTTACGTACACAGGGATAAGAAAACTTTAATAAACACTCTTGTTAAAAAATAATACTAAGATTTGTTTTGAAATATTTATTTTGAAAGTGGCCTAAATCCATTTATTTTAAAATCGAGATATTTAAGGGTTTGCGTTCTATATAGTTTTAAAAGTATCGTTAACTGATAACATGATAGTATAATGTTTTTGAGTTTCGAAGGGTGTATTTAATTTACATTATTTAAAAAATAGGTTTTTGATCAATTTCGCCATTTTCGAAACAGCAAAGCAGCTCATGTGTAACAAAAAATTAAAAATAGTTACTATTTGTCGAAGCTATGCATTTATATTTATTCATTTGTACTATAAGTTATGTATATAAATTGCAATATGTACATTTGCAGTTATCCAATGGCAAGTCAAGATGAGCTGTCAGAGAATCCGAACACCTGCGCGATTTGCTGGGAGAAGATGGAGACGGCGAGGAAGCTACCCTGCGGCCACTTGTTCCACAACTCTTGCCTGCAGTCCTGGCTGGAACAGGACACTTCGTGTCCCACGTGCAGGCTCACCTTGACCATGCAGCCTACTCACCGCGAAATCGCCCAGGAACTACCTACAGAATCGGAGACACCGGAAAGACGAACCGAGAATCACTTCTTCCATTTCGACGGATCCAGATACGTTGCCTGGCTACCACGTTTCTCCCTTGCTGTGTCTCCACCGCGCAGGGATGGCATCGACAACAACTCCCAGATGGACGCTATGATCAGACAAGTAAGTCAAGTATCCGACTTTTCCAGTTTTTATTCAATTATTAATTTGTTTATTTATTATTAACGCAATTTATCATTATTGGCTATGTCGCAAATTTTGCCCTAACACAATCAACATTACTTACGTGCACAGGGCTTTTATTCGTTGAATTCAATTACTTAAATTGATATTATAATGAATAATTAGGGGTCACGTGGTGGCAGAGGAAAAAGGGATTTGTCTCAGTGAGATGTCTGGAAAAATGTTGCTTTCAGAAAATATAATACGAATAAAAAGAAAGAAGTGTTTAAAATAAAAAGAAGAAGGATATGAGTCCAGGGAAAGAAGGCACAAAATAACATTAGAGACAATTATTTTATCACCAAATGTGATACCTTTTTCAAGGCCGAAAGACATGAAATACATAATTATTACTACTACTATTGGGTTGGGGAATAAGTTCGTAGCGTTTTTACCGAAGACTTTTATTTAAACAAAAAACAATAATTATATCAATAAGTTAATCAATTATAGAATCGTTTTATGATCGCAGTTCATTTTTTCCGC